TGAGAAGGTTCTGCTGCTCTCAGCTCATTGTAGAACCATGTTCATGCAGGTGGACTGGTGGGAACCACAGCTGGACTCACGTTGGTTCTTTGAGGTTCTACTTTGGAGGCTAAACTTTAAATCTAAACTTTATAAAGGACTAATTATTGATCTTCAGAGGAACTACTCTGCTGCTCTGCTTAGAAGTAATGCGATTACCTTGAGGTGATGCAGTTTAGAATCATGTGACGTTTAGGTGATACGATACAGGCTGGACTTACTGCTGTTATAGACGGAATGCTTGGAAGCACGTTTCCACCAGGAGAAGAAAAACGTAGTTTAACATGAAGAGCTGTGATGAATCTCCTTCTTCATTTGATCTTATTGTAGATGAAATGAGCCTCTATGGTACCACGCTGGAGTCTGACCCCGTTACAGTTGGGTTACTGAAGTCAATGTTTCTTGGTCCAGACTCAGTTCTGGTCCGACAGAGTCCAGACTGGAACCAGTAGGAAGCTGGTTTGTGTTTGTGAATCAGCTGCTGGTCGTCAGGCAGCAAAATGACACAAGAGGAAAAACAGTGAAAATCCCCAAAGACAGCAGAGACGACTAATGAGAGGAGGCAGAGCTGCTCAGGTGTTTCACTGCTCAGCAACATCTGAGCACCAGCAGGAGTCCCGCTTCTGTCCCTCTGAACCGGACCTGACCGGACCTAACTGGACTGGTCTTTACTGGAGCAGCGACGTGGATGCTGATTGGCTGAGGAGCTGGTTTTTGCTTGTGTGTTTTTGTCTTGTGGACTTTGATGGACGGACAGAGAGACGGACCGATCTGGACCTGCTGAGACTCGACGAGTGACTCCAACAGCAGCAGGTCAGCAAACTGGGACTGAACTGGACCAGCTGCTTTCACACTGTGTTTACTGGTTTCAGCAGTGGAGGAGGAAGTACTCTAGCTCTTCATTTCAGTAAGAGTAGCGGTACTTGGATGTAGAAATACTCCCAAGTCAAATTCAGAGTTATGTTTCAGTAAAACTACACAGGTGTCGAACATTTAATATCACATTTGTTTTTCGGTTTTTACCAGAAAATCGTTGTTTTTCTGAAACTCTTCTCAAGTCGTTTGAACCGACAGAAAACCTTTAATATAAACCAGGTGCAGCTGTTTCCAGTTAGTTTTTTACTGGTTTCAGTTGGTCATTTACTAGTGCTTGTTGATTATTCATTAGTTCTAGTTGCTGGTTACAGTTGGTTATTTACAGGCTACACTTCGTTATTTACAGGTTACAGTTGGTTATTTACAGGTTACAGTTGGTTATTTACAGGCTACAGTTGGTTATTTACAGGCTACAGTTGGTTATGT